ACAGCGGCAGCGAAAATGACAGCGATCAGGAGATGCTATCGGTGGACGAGCCGGCCGCAGAGCAGGATGGCGACGACGACCTTGACGACGACATGTTTGCAAGCGGCTCTGATCAACAGCGCGTCGCGTCTGGCGACGCTCACATGCGCGACCATGACGAAGAGTCAACAGATGGACAGCGCCGCAGTCTGTCCGACGCTCAGTCACGCTCGAGGTCAAGCAAGGCGACATCATCATCAAAGAAGCGAGGATCTCGAGCCGCTTCTTCGACCGTTGCAGTACCATCTGCTGGAGCGCAAGCCGTACGCAAGCTGGCCCGCAAGTCTGCAGCGCAGAGAGCATCTGCAGGTGCACCCGCGACCTACTCTCCCATCAAAGCTAGTCCGAAAGCTGCGCGCAAGCGCAGTCCGGACATGTCAGATGACCGAGCGATCGGGGAGGAGTGGACGGACGAAAATGGTTTGAGGTGGAGGATCGGCGACGACGCCACACGTCGTAGAGCAGCCGTGGTAGTGGAAATGCGTTCGAAGCACAGCATGGTGAGCATTTCGAGCCCTTGGCTGGGCTTGATGATGGGGCTGACACTCTGCCGTTGGCTGTGACGCTGCAGCCAAAAGGATCCAAACATCCCGATGCGTTGCTGAAGGTGCCCGTGCATGTAGAGCGTTTTGTCACAGAGAAAGAGTACAACGAGCTTGCTGCTCAGAACAAGCTCTCCTGGCAAGAGGCCGAGAGAGAAGAAGCGCGCGAAGAAGCACGAAGAGAGGAGCAAGAACGCTCGGCGAAAGAAAGGCGAGCCGATGAGGAGCGCAAGATGCGAACTCCGAAAAAATTGGCCGCCATCTACTCTCAGCAGTCTAGCGGTCACTCGCTTTTTCGCCCGCCTCAAGAACAATCTCGACGATCTGGAGAGTTTTCGCGCGCTTCTTCCTTGTCGCGATCTGGCTCGTCTGCCAGTCTGCACAATTCCATGCGCGAGAGTCAAGACCGCTCGGCGTCCCTTTCCAAAGGCCGAATTTCGCTGTCTGGAGCTGCACCCAGCCACGGCTCAAGCGCGCCTTTGCGTGGTCGCCTGAGCGGTAGGGGCAGTACGCCCTTGAGGCATAGCACCACCTCAGATGAGAGGCAACGTCGCGCCGATCAGCTGCTCAGCTCGCTCGCGCGAGATGTCGATAAGGGTGCTGCTGCCCCTGCCGGCCCTGCAACGAAAATTGGCAGTCTCTTGGCCGCTTCAAGCACCAATGGCAAGCCCGCAGAAGTGGAGGAGGCCAAAACGCAGCAAGCACCTACACAGAGCGTCGACAAGGCAGCAACATCTGCGACGGTGACCAGCACTGCTCCACCTGTCGTCTTCAAATTTGGTGCATGATCAACATGTCGCTGATCTCAGCCAACGCATTAAATACGAAAAGAGATTGCTTTCTCCCACGACTCTACCCGCACCTCGTCAGCATGTATGCCCACACTTAGGCCCCGCACCAAATCACATCATAGTCACATTCGCGATTGCTATGCGCATACACCAGCGCTCGGGGCGACGCTGGATCTATGGCACTTGCAATTTGATCGTGAGGGCTCGGCTTTCTGTGAGATCCAGGGCGCGCAAGCGGCTTGGAGCCGAGACAAAGCGCTCCATCTGCTCAAAAAGTAATCTGCCTGCCGAGCGTCGTTGTAGGAAGACTTCTGAGACTTGCAATGGCATGCATTCACCACAGTGATTTGCAAAGCCATGTCTAAACTTTTGCCTGGCGATTGGCACCACAGC